CTCAAAGTTTATCCATGTGGCAAATGTCAGAACTCCTTCTTTGTCAGGAGGATAACTATTCCATTGCGTGTGTGTGTGCCACATTTTGCTTATCTGTCTATTCACTGATGAACACTTGAGTGGCTTCTGCCATTTGGCTCTTCTGACAGTGCTGCTGTGAACATGGGTGCTGCCTTCTGTTTTGAGTGCACATTTCTCTTCTAACTAACTAGTAGGCTTATCTGGGGCCCATTGCCTGTTCCCTCTGACAACACCAAAACCTAGAAAATGACTGCCTAACTGTTGAAGCAAGGGGTCATTCCCCTCTTTATTGGGAGGGACCAGGTATTTGTAGTTTTCTTTTCAGGTTTGGTTTTGCATGATAATGATTGTCATTTGCTTCTGAGTCTATATTTCTGTCCTTTGTTATCCTTGGATGAAACTCTTTATACCTTCAGAGGACTTGTGTCAAACAACCAAGCAACACATATTTACTGAGTGCAGGACATTGAGGTGGGGGGAGGCTGAGACAGTGCATAGTCAAGGGGAGTGGAGAGGTGGGAAGCAGAAGTAGAAGTTTGGTTCACAACTTCAGTGTATCTTTAATTTGCAGGTATTAGGTACTTTATCAGTTACTTAAAATAATTTGTAATGTTTACAGTCAGATTCCTTCAATTCTCTGCTGGAATGATTTTGTCTGTCCTTGTAACCCTCCAACCTGGGACATTTGGTAATGACTGGAAACACTTCTGATTGTCACAAGGGGTATGGGGCATGGCACTACCATCTAGTGAATGGAGGTCAGGGATGCTAATAAACATCTTCCTGCACAAGACAGCAGAAAATTATCTGATCCAGATATAATCAATGCTGAGCTTGAGAAGCCCTGAAATATGAATATTGCTCAATTTATATTGATAATTCATCTAGTAAGGAAAATAAAATGACACCAGTCATTTTCTGAAGAAAAGTGTCTGTGATAATATGGTTACTTGAAATCAAACTATCATTTCTCATGTTATAAATGTGACTATTTACTAATGCAGGATAATTTCAAATGCTTAAGTGAAACTTTAATATCTATAGAAAATTTAGTGAAAATTTCACTATAAAAGCATAACTTAGCATTTAATGTATTAATATCATAATTAATATATATCTTAAAAGTAATATTCACTTTATAAAGAGATGATCATAAACTCATAGCTTATAAACTTACTTAGGATTAGAAAGACATCATGTAACTGGCTCCTCCTGCATATTCTATCTGCATATTGCTTTGTTTAGACTAGCATTATATTTAGATCCTGGTCCCCATACAGATCACTTAGGAGGAAGTGCTAGAGGCTCTATAGGATGTTTTGTAGCATTGATTTAAAATATTCCATGGATAACCCACTTGCATAGCAGATGATGCTAAAAATATAAACAAAATTCATTCCCAATCTGCCCATTTTTCTCATCCAGAATACTAGTGGGGAAACACCTCATTTGGTTACCTACTTTCTGGTCACTGGATTTAAGACTCATTTCTTCCATAAAATGAAACTTGAACAAAGAAAGGAGCTAAAGAATCATTTGGAGGTGTGTAGTCCATGGAGTCACTGAACAGGAAGTTGTCCTGTATGGGAGCCACCAGGGCATGCATGTAAATGCTTACCTAACTAAACAAGCATCTCTTAGGACTGGCTGGAATAATTACAGGGCTTGAAATAAGAACAGAATGCCTCATCACCTATCCCCAGCCTTTTGCACAACTTCAGTGTAGGGCAATGAAAACTGATATTCATAATAAACATCCTGAAATTCTTTCTCTTTTAATAAATAGTTTAGTTGTAGAGATACACAATAACTTTATTTATTTATTTTTTATGTGCTGAGAATTGAATCCAGTGCCTCCCATAGGTCAGGCAAGTGCTCTACCACTGAACCACAACCCCAGCTGAAATTCTTTCTTAATCATCAAAGGAAGAATAAATTCAGGCTTAAGTGTCCTGATTCTATCTGAAAGTTTGTCATAAAAGGGGCTTCCTGCATGTGGACAGTAATTGATCCTCAGATATCTGAACCCCCCCCCCATCCCAAAGCTCTACTCAAAGTTCATGTTTGTCGTCTGTTCCAGGACATGGGAAGAAGGCAAGGTGCTCATCTTTGACGACTCCTTTGAGCATGAGGTGTGGCAGGACGCCTCGTCTTTCCGGCTGATATTCATCGTGGATGTGTGGCACCCAGAACTGACTCCCCAGCAGAGACGCAGCCTTCCAGCCATTTAGCAGGAATTCATGCCGACTTAGGACACTCTGGAGAGAGGCTACCTTTCTGGATCCCTTTGATGTGGAGATAGTTCAAATACCGTGGCTCTTAATTCCCTCAACTTGCAGCCTGAAAAATTCTGAGCTTCCTCCCAGGGTTAAAAGATACTAAAGGGAATATTTGCTTCACAGCAATTCATTTAGAAAACACCCTGCTGTGTTTCATCCCATGACAGTACTGATCATATGCCCATATTTGGGGCGAACACTTGATAGCTTCTACCTTGCCAGCCAAAGATATTTTTTCCACACAGAATACGTCTGAATCAGTGAACAATAAGAACATATGTAGAAACTGTGAATGGATTGCTTAAGTTTGTAATTTTTCTATGCATTTATATTTTTCTAAGGTAGCTAAACTATTTTGGCATTACATACCACTACTTTTTTGTCGACTTTAATGACAAGCTTTGCAAATGCTTTACTTCTAGTCATTTTATAGCAAATTTCCTGGTGAACTCAGACTTCTTTATTTTAATCTTTTTTTTAGTAAAAAACACTCATTAAAATGACCATTTTATTTTCCTAATGCAAAAAGAGAAAAGTGTAATTATGCCTGTAATCTATGACCTGTGCTGATTCTTGCCCTTGAGTCTGTTTGCTTCTTTATCTTCATTGAGCTCCAGTTTTTGCTCTGCTTAGTGTGCTAATGGTGGAAATATTTCAAAAATCTTGCTGCTTTCTAAGAGAAATTTTTTACATTGAAAAAAGGACATGAAATATTTTATATTATGATATCAAAATGTCACATGTAAATTTTTTAATGCCAAGCATTAGGGCTTGCTGCAAATAATGGAAAATGTGCGGAAGTAAAAATTCTTTCAAAGGATAAGTCAATAGGTAGTGGCAAGAGCCTCTCTGCCTTCTGTGACATCATTGATTGGGAATCAAGAGTGTCTTCACCTATTGTAGATCTGAGTGAATGGCAAGAAGATAGCACTTTCCATTCTTTAGATGGTTTGCATATAAATTTTGTAAATATGGAGTAGCAGAGTAGATGATTCCCAGGAATGCTAGGATCTTTGTGCCAAGTGTAGGAGATGAGATTGCTTTCCGCTTCGAAAGAATTTGAAGAACTCTTCCATCTCCCTATCTTGAGAAACTTCTGCCATTTAAACATCATTTTTTAAATAAAAATTAATACTCATACTTAGTTTTAATGTTAGAAATAACTATTGAAAGTGATCTTGCCTGCTCATTCCAAAGACAATCAAGTCAACAATGTAATAAAATACGAATGCATTTGATTTTATGTCTTTAAAATTAAAGCAAAAAGTGTTAGCTATAAGAATGTAATGATATACCTTCACTGAATTCTAAGCCAATATGGACAAAAATGCTACAGAAGTGGCACATAGGTCACTGGATTTCATGCACAGGTAGAAAGAAACACTTGTGCTTTCTTTCCCCTCTAATGACAAAGGAAGAGGCTTTATCTTATTTAACGAGTAATTCTTTAATGCTGAAAGTGAACTTTTTTCCTTGACCTTAATGGCATTAACTTTTGATAGAAGGGCTTGCAAAATATTTTTCGTGTTCCTAAAGTATTTGTCCTGTTACATTTTGACAGTGTTCAAAAATCCCACTAAACCAGATGGAGAGACATGGGAGGGAAAATATCAAAATTAATTACAGAAATAAAAAGGCATTTGTGTTCTTCAGTATTTATTAAACAGAGGAAATGACTGACAAAGGGCAATACAATCCAGTGTTCATGTAGTAACATTCATGTCACTTACTGAATTTGGTTTGCTATGTATATTGCATACACATAAAGAAATTCAAACCATAAGTTCTGATTTTTTGAACCATCATCTTACATTCATTTAATAAAATTCTGGAAAAGAGTAAAAACTAACTCTTAACTTGGCAAATATAATGTGTTATTTAAAATTGGGTCACTACAATAAGATTCTAAATATTTCCAAATGAAAAGCCAGAGTATTATTACTGCCACAAAGGGCTGTCAATAACTGACTCCCAATAGCCTTTTTAATATTTGTATCCCACATCTGTTTTATAAACCCAAGCAATAAAGTGGATTTTTTCATTCATTTCAATTCTTCCTTTTCCTTACCTGTATATTGGTACATAAGAAAAATATTTCAGATTGCATTCATAGAATTATTTCAGTGTTTTTATCTTGGATTTGAAATGTCTACACAAAATGAACATGTCTTATTTATACTGTGATATGATTGAGGCATTTTTAATTGTTTTAATTTATTTCTTCTTCAAGGGTGAAATATAAAAATGACTTATTATTTTCTCCCAGTAGAAAAAAATTAAAACATTAGATCCATGGAGAAAGAGTGTAATCAATGGTTAAGATTAGCAATATCTATTGGGGGTGATTATGGCCAGCTAAATCACTCACTTCTTTCCTTTGAATTGTTCAGCTAACAAATCAACCCTCCCAAATATTTTCCAAATATTTAAAATGCAAAATCATTTTACTGTCCATTACCAATTAAAATATTTTTATTTGACACTGAGCATTAATTGATCCAACTAATAAATGTCAATGTCATGCTGGTCAAATCAGAGATATCTAAAAATATGCAACTGGTCTTGTGAAACATGGCACAAATAAGGATATCATATTCTTTGATATCTGTTCATTTTATATCTAATTTCCTTTGAATGTATAGTTGGAGATTCCATTTCTACAGAGAATAGATAAAGAAATAAAATGATCTTTGGCATTTCATCCTGCCTTCCTGGTCTTATCTTAATACTTGCATATTTAGCCATCCATGATTGGATATCTACCCACTCAGCAATGGCTGGGCCATTTCTCCATACCTTCAATGATTGCAGGAGGGTGGGGAGTTAAATGGTTGGGTAACATATTTCTTTGCTGTAGTGGCACAAGTGAGCCAACTTGAATGGATTTATTAATCGCTGATATGTTTTTTCAAAGAGACCCCTTCTCTCTACAGACACATTCTGGACTAATAGCTTCTCAGGATGCCTATGGTACACCCCATTGCTAAGATGAAATAATCATATTTCAAACTGCATGTGCCATCCTTTGAAGTCAGCTCATCATATACAGCTGGTGACCTAACAAAAAGATGTAAATTCAAAATCATTTTTCGCAGGATATCAAAATAAGAAAGCTTTGCAAATAGCCAGACCTATGAGAATGTGCTCTTAGGCTGAACAATTTGATGCTGGTGATGAGGTCAAAGAAAATAATTCAATAAAAATGGAAATTAGTGGAGATACTGTTTTCTCAGGGTTCTGCATTGCATTAATCTTGATACTCATCTCTGCACAGTTTGACTCTGGTGTGTTTACTTAATTTGCAAAAACTGAAGAAGATTCCTGTGTGATTTCTCAGAAAAATCATTGTCCTAATGCAGTATGTAAATCAAATTTAGTTTTTCACTTTTTAAATTCATTTGATACTTTAAGTGTAGTGGGGGAGAGAATTTTTTTTAACATAAAAGCCAAAAATCTTGCTTCATCTTCCAATCCCCTTATTTTTTAAAAAAATAAAAGAAAGAAAGAAAGAAAAAATTAAAAAAAAAAAAAGCATCTCTCAAATCCTTGTTCAACTTTGGCTGCTCAGACCCTTGGCTGGTGACAGTCATCTCTGGGGTCAAGAGTGGAGGACCTCGAGTTGGGCAGGATGCACATGTCCATGTGGGTCGGTTGCGGGTGTGCTTCCTGTTTAGCTGATAGCACTGAAGGCTGGTGTGCAGGAGCATCGGGGTGACTCTGGGTTCAGTCCAGAGCCAAGAGAGGCTGAGTGTTCTCATTCTCTCCCTTCTCCTCATGTTTCAGGGTCCCAGCTTCTACAACGGACTGAGATCTAATGAAGAGGGAGAGAAAAACACATTTACAAACAACTCATGGTGGCAACAATTTTGAAGCCTTGGGTGCATTCTGAATTTCTATTCCCTTCTCTAATCAGAACACTCAAAAGAACTATTTAATTTTTCCCTTTGGGAATCTCTGCATTTCTGCATTTCTACATTTTCCTGCATTTCTACACCATGTTTTTATGGAGAGAAACATTGGAGTCTTGGGATCTTCACAGAAATTCCTTCTGTTGGGGAGAAACGTATACAATAGAAACAATAATAGCATCCTCCCTTAGGGGTGTGAAAATGGAATAAGTTCATAAATGTATAGAACTTCTTAGAATAATGCCAGGTGTATTCATAACAAATTTTAGTGTTATTACATGTTATATTGGGGGATCTCAAGACCACCTTTATATTTGATAATTTGATAGGACTCATAAGACACAGCAAAATTGTTACACTCACAGTTATGGTTTATTACAGCAAAAAGATACATTAAAAATCAGCAAAAGTACAAAGGTGCATGGGGTGGAGTCAAAGCGACCAGGTGTAAGCTTCTGGCTGTCTTACCAGTAACATGATATGGACAGAGCTTAAATTTCTCAGTACTGATATTTGACTATATATGCAAGTGTTATCAGTCAAGGAAGCTTCCTGGTTAGTGTCCAGAGTTTTTATTGGGGGGTTGGTGAGTCACATAGGCCTGCAATTCCTGTAACTGACCTTAGCTACTCAATCTTCAGCCTCTGTCCCCCACCTACCTTCCAGAAGATATCAAACGGATACAGTGTTACCTAAAGTTAGGTATACCAAAATTAGGTTTACAGCCATTTGCTGTAAAATCACACTGTTAGCATAAACTATCTGGCAAAGCCTAAAGCCTTAGATGTACAAAGACATTCTTATGAGGCATGCTATTCCAAGGGCTCAGAGGACCCAGTCAAAGTCCAGTCCTGAGACTTTTAGATTGTGCAGGGTTTGGATAACTCAGGTTCACTGAGCTCACTATTTACTGCGTGTGTGTGTGTGTGTGTGTGTGTGTGTGTGTGTGTGTATATATATATATATATATATATATATGATTTTTACATGTTTTTATGAAAATTATGCTCATTTAAATAATCCAATTTAATAATTTGTCAATGTTTCAAATAACTTGGTTTTAGTATGTGAACATCTATTGAACATTTATTGCATGCATATCTTATGATCTTTGTCAGCTGGAAAATAATTTCAGTTTTAATTACTCAAAGATTTTGGAGAGAGATCATTATTACTCCAATATAAAAGGACAAATCATAAATTAAAGATCATTACTATTATTGCAACAATGGTGACAATAGGAGAGTGTTCCATAAATGTGTACTTCAATTTCATGCCAGATGATTTATGTAAATTATCAGTTTTAGTTCTTAGCAACAATTGTGGGAGGCAGGTAATGCTTCTATTTCATAGGAAAGAAAATAAAGGTTCAGAGCATTTCAAGAATTTCTCTAATCTGTACAGCCATTAAGGGGGGCAGAACCTAACTTTACCTTCTTATCTTTTGAATGGTCTTAACATCATATATAAGTTTCTGATGACCCCAAACAAAGTGTTTACAAAGTACATAGAAACATTAAAAATCCAATAAAATTTGGTGTTATATATCCCAAGATCCACAGAATGTTTAGACACAGGGGCAGAGTTGTGACTAATCAGTATAATTGCCTCAAAATAATTGGTTTCTACTATAAATGTAATTTGTCCAAATGACCCAACTTTAGATACCAAGCCCAACCTTTGAGAGTAGAATGGATTCATTTACTGCCTTGGTGAGATAGAAGAAGCCTATGTACTAGTTTAGAGCCAGCTCTCTGACATCTTCCCTATGCAATTTTCATTGTTTTAGCTAAGGGCCGTGTGTGTGTGTGTGTGTGTGTGTGTGTGTGTGTGTGTGTAGTGTTGATTGATACAAGGAACAGAAAAGCTTAAAATTCAGAAGACATTAAAACAAGCAATAAATATGACAACCCAGGAGCACAACTGTCCACATTGGCTACCTCCTTCCAGCACCTTGGACAGCTGCCTAACTATTTTGCCCTGAGGTCCTTGTGAGAATGGAGGGAACTGGTCATCGTTTACTCTTAGAAACTTTGAACCACAATTCTCTTACTCTGTCATGTGGGTTGATTTTATTTTATTACATAGCATGTGAACCACAGGCAGCATTCAAGTTTCATCTATAATTATAGCTGAAGATTTTTCTAGGTCAATCTGGTAGGAGATCCTTAATAAGGGGCCATACACACCTCCTCTTGGACATATTCAACATGAGAAACCTACTCCCCTATCCCCTTCTGAAGTTTTCCCTTGCATTGAACCCCAATCTTCCTTTCAAAACTTTATGTACTGTTTCTGGCTCTGCTTTGGAACCATCAAATTGTCATCATCCCCTTGTGTCCGTGGGGGATTGGTTTCAGGATCCACATGGATATCAAAATCACAAATGCTCAAGACCTTTATATAAAATGGCATAGTATTTGCATACAACCTATGCACATCCTCTTGCATAAATCATCTGTAGATTACTCATGATACCTATTACAATGTATGTTGCTATGCTGTGTTGTTTAGGAAATGATGACAAGAAAAACTGTTTATAGCTGTTCAGTACAAACAAAACATAAATATGGTGGGCCTAAATATACAGTACACATCAACAGCAATGAAATGTTTTTCCCTGAAAATGCTTTCTGTAGCCAGTCCAATCCATGATATGGAACCCCCAATACAGAAGCCTGATCATCTATACCATCCATTCAGTAGTCCATATAACAGTTCTTTAAATATTTGTGCCTTCCAGCCATACCACGTCCCTCACAGAAGTTAATCAAATACCTCTTGTGACAAGATCTCTAGACCTTACCACCTCCATACTTTCCTTTCTCTATCAGTTGTATGGATTACCCATTGTAGTCCTGATGTGACCTCAGAGTAGGGTGAAATGATTGCTTCCTTTATTTTTTATTTTGGTACACTTTATTGAGCTTATCTAGAATCATATTAGTCTTGTTGGTACTAATGTGACAAAAACAATGAAAAGCTAACTGTATTTATACATACTCCTGTTCACCCATTTTTCTCCCATCTTGAAGGTATTAAATTTTATCTTTTTGAATTTGCCTATGTTTTCAACCTATCTCCATTCTTTTGGGTCCTACATTTGTTTATCCATCCAAGTTATTATCTGTGACTTTAATGAGTATTGAGTTTGTGTCTACACTTTCCCTTCCCCTGCTATAGAAAGCATTTATGGAGAAAATCAACAAATTCCCAAATAATGAGTTTTTAATCATCTGTTCACCCTGACTCATGCTAAGAAATTCTTGGGAACATCTGCTATATGCCAAAGACTATGAACAAATGTGTAGAAACCTTCATTCTGTTATGGAAACACTGCTTCAGCTACCCCGCCATAAACTTACAGACAGACTTGCATTCACTGAACACTCACCCTAAATCCAGCAGCTGGGTAGAGGCAGTTTGGGACAGAGAAAGTGTTAATAGCTAAAGAAGGAAACGAAGGAAGTGGAATCTATCATCCACACAGTGACATCACTCACCATCTTTGCTCATGTGACAAATACTCACTCTCCCCTCCACAAGGAGTAAAACTGGGACTTACATTATTTCTTTCAGTGATATACTGTAAATGAACATCTGGAAGACAATCTGTCTTATCTCTGCCAATAATCTTAATACCTTCATTGAATGGTAATTTTATGGTTTGGATGTGAGTTGTCCCCCAAAAGCTCATGTGTGAGACAATTCAAGAAGGTTTGGAGGAAAAATAATCGGGCTATAACCTTAGCCTAATCAGTGAATTGATCCCTGATGGGACTGATGGGATTAACTGAGTTGTAACTGGAGGCAGGTGGGATATTGGGGCATGGCTTTGGGGTAGACATTGTGTATCTAGAGAGTGAAGTCTCTCTCTCTCTCTCTCCCTCTCTCCCTCTTTTCCTCCCTCCCTCCTTCCCTTCCTTCCTCCCTCCCTCTCTCCCTCTCTCCCCTCCCCCTCTCCTCTGCTTCCTGTTCACCATGTGAGCTGGTTCCCTCTTGCCACACTCCTCAGCCATGATGTTCTTTGCCTCACCTGGAGCCCTAAGGAATGGATCTGGATTCTATGGAATAAGATCTCTGAAACCATGAGTCTTCAAATAAACCTTTCCTCCTTTACAGCTATTCTGGTTGGGTCATTCAGTCACAGTAGCATCAATAGCTGACTAAAACAGTAAGCTAAAAGAGAACAATTCTCAGATGCTGAGCATGAGGAGTCAAACATAACATTTTTATCCTAGTCTATGTTTTTCCTGATTGAGAAAATGACCTCTTTAGATTTAGAGGCTATTTAGAAAATAGCCTCTTTAGATTCAACATAATTTGATTTCCTTGGTCACACAATGAGCATTTGATATAAGTAACACATTATATTATAAATATTTTAAATTCACTGGAAAAAGTAGAAAGAAAAATATTGCTTTTCAAATAATCTAATATTTTTAAAAGATGTCAAGAGAAAAACCTTTCTTAAATCTTATCCTTAGTCCATTTGAGTGAGTCAAAATACTCTCTGGGAAAACTAACCAACTGCTGATTGATAAAAATGTCTCCACCATTGTGTCCTTAGTTGCTGAGCCATGGAGAAGCCACTTGCCCTGAGGTTTTGTTGTCTCGTTCACTCATGGTGGTGACCTCTCCATTCAGTGGTTTTGCCTTCTCACAGTGAGTTTAACACGTCTGCTAAAATAAACATTTCTCTTGGGTCCTCTTTCCACATTGAAAGCCAGCTTAACCTTGTGATTTTTGCTATTTCAGCCATCATTATATTAGTGGGGCAGCAGGCAACTCAAAGAAAGTTTTCACTATAGCTTGATAGCCACAGTTTTCCTCGTATCTTTGTCTGTCTGCCTTTCTCTCTCTTTTCTTCCCTGTCTTCTTCTCTACATCCTCCTTTGCCTCC